ACCGGTCAACCGAAAACGAAGTCTTAACCTTTTTGACATTATCTTCCGTTACAACAACCTTAAAAAGGAACTCTTTTCCTTTTAGATCACGTCGTGATTGAGGCAGTCCAGACGAATTATCCTACAAAATATATTGAGAGTATTTTAAATGAGTTATATAATCATAATGCTTATCAAATAAAACTATAGGTGTACCCCAACAGATTCTTCGAAAACTTCCTCGGCAATCTTCTTAAACAATTTTTGAGCAATTTTGTCGAACATGACAAAGACTGCCATCCCTCCAAAACCATCGTCCACGTTCAACAACAGAAAGAAACTATAAAAGAATAATTAGACAATTAGTTTTATAAATATAAAAAAATATACGACATAATGATTATAATGGTGTGTAGACACCGAATTCAAACAATAGAGATTTGACTACCTAGCAACAACTTCAGACTCAGAAACATTACTATTGCAGTTAATGCATTTCCAAGACGGCGGCGAAGGAGCATGGTCTCTCTCGGGGATAGGATGAACCTTTTTCACACTTCTTGCATGCTATGTAATACCACGAATTACTATTGGCAACCGAGCGTATGGTCGCCAATGTCACATACTTACCAACCTGCTTATTCGAAACAATCAATGACAACCACCGATATACAGAAATTTTTTTATAAACAAAAATGACAGAGTATCGCATATTCACATACCGTATCGATCGAATGTATAGAACTTAACTTTTGCCTAATATTAGTTCCCAAAAATTCATTGTTTAATGAATCTTTAGAATCTACACCCGAATCATCTTCGTTAGGAATGTGAATATACTTATCTTGAGACAACCTTAACGGAAAAAATACAAAAACTAATTATAGTAGAACAAACATATGTACAAATAAAACCGTACTGTAATTTCATTGAATAGATTCTTACTCAGATCAGAATTTTGCCACCAGAGGACACACTGGATCAAACAAAATCTAAGTTGTATTAAAAGCAATTGAGACGCTCATCTCACCTAAAAAGTGTAAATAAATCGGTGTTTCAGAAATACATATAATTTATGACAAAATTGTTCATAATCGTCGCTAAAATTAAATCAGTATAAATCATTAAATAATATACCTCGATAGTTTTTGATACATGCAAGCCTTATAATAACCACAACGACGGATGCGCAATTACGTTTAACATAAGCAGCAACTTTTTTTGCGTAATCAGCCCAAAGAGTACACGGTAATTGTAGGTCGCTGTTATAATTAATACATGATCATGAGTTAAATCATATAAGTAAAAATAACACCAGATAAAATAAAATATTAAATTAGAACTAAATATGTTACCTCTCATCTCTAAGATAAATCTTAAGTCTAGAACGACGTTTCCTTGAGCCATGACGTCCTCAACATGACCAACTCTTACGATTTTTCCGACCACGTCTTAGCATTTATAATAAAGTAACACGAAACAAAAGAACCAACACAATTAGCCAACAGCTATCTAATGCAGAAAGTTTTTAATACCGTGTCATAAAAAATGTTAAATAAACTCTGCGTCTCAGTTTAGATATGGTACCGATCAAATAGCCATTGTCCAAATCAGTTGATAAAATATCTGGAAAACTTTTTATCTATTTCTCGGGAATTTCCTGAGGAAAATCCAAGCATCCAGAGACAGTCGTAGTTGCATAGAACACTATCTTGAAAGGTGTTCGTATAGTTCGATACTCAGAATTATACTCAACAACCTTAAAAGTATTGATAAGCACCGATCTCCCCTCGATCAAATCTTTACGAAAATATTTAGTGAAATATCTTTCAACAGTTGTTTGTATCCTATCACCCTGAGTTCCAAAGTACAAAAAAAAAAAATTAACTAACAACTAATTAGCTAACCGGGATATTCATAAATTATAGCACTAACCTCTTGATCAACCAAGACCATCTCAAGTGATGAACACCCCCCTCTGCCTTTGAATCCATCCCAAACCTTGAGGATATTAACTTTGATAACAATGTTATCAGAGCCAGGACGTAAATCCCTAACGAAAACATTAGATGCTGATTTTCTTTTAAAAATCAACATAGCTTAGACCACACGATATTGTAACAAAAAAGAAAAATTGGGAGAAACCAAGACGAAGAACGGGTCTCTATATATAGAGTAGGAGACATGATATATATATTATATATATATATACAATATGTAAATTAGACTTAATTCGGATATGATTTACTACTTTTTAGAATATACATATATCGCAACAAAAGTTAAAGACGATAAAATCTTCTAATTTTCTTTATTTTAAAATGGTTAAAAACGATAAAATCTTCTAATTTTCTGTATAAAGCAAAAAAATAATACTCAGATAATATTAATTTATATACTTTAACAGAAAATTAACATAATGAAGTTAAATTCAATTTTAAAAATGGCAAACATTACAGTAACTGTATATACAAAGTAGAAAATATATTTCATAAATAAGTAATTAGCGATTTAGGTAAACAATTAAAGGAATTCTTCCTAAACGATGTGTTTAAGCTACTCAAAACGTTAATACATACTAATAATTAAGCGTACCAATAAATTAGATAAAATGAGATCAATCAAAATATCTTTACAGTTTATCATTTGTATAATTTATCCTCCGTATATAATATTTACAATTCTTAAACAATATATTGCATGAAAGAATAATTATTAGTCTAAATATAAAATGAAAAATTTCTATAATATATTGTAACAATCGCGCACATACGCAGAGATAAATAAGATAATTCATATGAGTAGAAAATGCCAATAACAAACTTAAAAACTGCAATGTAGTTTTACACGATATAAAAAAATGTATAGGCTGGTATTCCAAGATTTATGTATTCGTGAAATGGAAATCAATATTGATCGGTTGACACCAATGCCTCTCGGAGACGTACCACTTCAGGAATAACTGGTGCCAACATTATCCCTGTGTAATTAGGAGCGGCTACAGCCATCCAATTACCTTATGATCACAAAAAAAAAAACAATCGAAAGAATTAATAACTTAACAAACACTTTTAATTTTTATCTAGTTATATCTATATTCGAAAAAGTATCATGAATTTCAGCCTTAGAATACCTCGGATGATATCAACTTTTGCAGACAGAACGATACATATTATCATATCATCATCACAATGCGTCAAACCATCGAGAAAATCTCGACCAAAATTGCCAACCAAACGACATGGTAGACGACATCCTCTAATAATTATAAAATAAAACAATCAGCGGAAAATTGGTTGTAAGTAAGTAGCTCTGAATTATAAACTGTATGATAGTACACAATACCTCTGATTCTCCAATTCGATATATATCTCGTTCATCATGTAGCTTTCAAAAGGATATTGTGGATCAATGTAGTTTCCAACAGTCATAACACGTCCAATTAGATCTTAACGCAAAAAACATAAAAAGGCAAGTCAACACTATAACGATTTTACAACTTACAAAACATATTATGTGTCATATCACAAGAACATACATAATACACACAGCTTACCCACACAACTGTTAACGTCGCAGGATCCATCTATTATATATTCGAACTCGGTAAAAGAAAAGCAACGATATGAGTTATCCATCACAAATACACCGACAGACGTTTACAGTTTACAAAATATCAAAAGAATGAGAAACAACTCTATATATACGCCGAATCATATCTCAAAATATGTATTTGTTTTATTTTATTTTTATAAAATTTAAGCAATGATAAGATTACGGAAAAGCGAAATAATATTGTGTTACAATTAAACTTTATTATTATAACAAATTTGATATATATAATTATTCTAATATCATTTATTATATATTGCTTTTATTAAAATAAGAAATAAGTATGCCCCAATAAAGAAACTAAAAAGAAAATATGATAAATAACTATTGTCTTCTGATAATCAACCAATGAACCCTAATGAATGGTATGCACTTCTAAACGAAGGATACACTACTCCACCAACAGTCCTAATATCATCAAAACTACGTGGACCCCTAACTATGTCCAATAAGAGCCTCAGATAATACTCTTCTCCGTACTCTGTCGGCGATTCGTCCCCAACACACGCACCAGAATTTCCCTTTAGTCTTGGCCTCCATGTCCTATATCTCCGAGTATAAAAGATTCCTCGCCTCTGGATAAGACTGATTACACATAAACCAAGCAAGGAATTTAGGTTTTCTAGCAGGAACACGTCTATCTAAATTATTAGAAAACGCAATATTTCCACAGGGAGATGAAACGGCATAACTTGCCAATTAACACGTGGTCGCCTGTGAGCACCTAGACATGGACAATAGAAAAACAATCATATATACAATAACAATAATCAATCGAATACCGTAAAGAAAACTAACGATTATTGACGTCTCTAAAAAAGTAATACAAAACTCATTTACCAAACGCTTCCATCAAAACTCATTTACCAAATGCAAACAAATCTAACAATGCAGACTGGTAACTCGCGAAGTCGCGATAGATGCATATATATACCTATACCGAAATATATGCATATATATAGAGATATAAGAATTATGTTGTTTACGCGTTGTTTATTTTTTCTAGGGTTTCTTAGAATGTTTTCCTTTAATAACATTTTATACATTTTAACTAATAAACTTTTTCACAGAACTTTTTACCTTTCAACTACTGAGTTTTTCCTTTTTAATAAATAATAAAATAATCAATTATATATCTTGTGTCTGATAAAAGAAACACCATGATTTTCATAGTTGCTAAATGGAAAAAACTAAATGTTGTAATATGATCGGGGATATCTTCGAATCCTCTAAAATTTTTATAAATTTGAGTTACTTGGAGTCCAAAAAATTAATAAAAACATGCGTTATTTATGTGAATATATAACTTATATTATTTTCTCTGCTTTCAATATTTCAATATCAAACAACAATAATAATTACATTAAAAAAATATATTTATTGATTAAAATAAAAAAGTCTGAAGAATAAAGAATAATTAAACTATAATTTGTATACATGGTAAATAGTTTTTAAAAATGATATATGCATATCTGAATAAGATGCATCATAACACTATTCAATGTAGACGTCCCACACTATCACGCGTGCATGGCCTCTTATGCGGATATCTGCAGTTTTATAAAAAAGGTTTGAGAGAGAGAAGGCGACCACGAGTTAATACAAAAAAAGTCAAATACAATCATAAGTATTAGAAACTCACTGTTCCAAAAACTCATCTAACTCTGGAATACGGGGATTGAGTTCGAACTTAGTAGGAGAAGTGGAAGATATAGTGATCTTGCCTATGTTTATAAAACTCATATAGAATCAAAACAATAAAACAGAACGAATATAGAGAATATAAATTAATATATTAAAAATACCTCCAAAATAATCAATAACCGCCCATCTAAGCACTCACACAATGATATCCTGATCACAGCGTCTCCAAGATGCATAAAAGTTTTTAGCCATCTCACCGGAAAATTCACAACTCAAATCAACGCCACTAAATTAAAACACGTCACACATAATCAGTTAGATAGAATAAATAAAACGACAATATACAGTTTAAAAACATCCAGCAGACAGTACCGTTTATCCCTAAGACAGAATGTGATGGTTGAATATCCACCCCTTATCTCGGAATCACATATATCATTACATGGACTACCATATTAAATAACAGAATGCTCTCCAGTCAGTAAACCACACCACGTCCTAGATCGAGTTACATTTAAGACCCGACCTATCAAATCTTCATAAACAACAAAAACTAAACCATGTTAACATCAGCAACATAATAATAACAAAATTCAATAACTAAATAAAAAATAAACACACCAACTAAATAGTCCTCATCATGGGCACGGTCCAATATCCTTTGAAAGTCAAGAAGTCAAAATAAGCATTTTCACATCTACGTGAAGTCTTGTCAATGATAGTTGATGGTATGAACAATATTTTGTATCTAAGTCGGTCTACAACTATCCTCACAATCGATAACAGAAAAATGACTGATAATAATCCAACTACCAACATCTATGCAAGACAATGCGACACCGATCTCACCATCCCTAACAGTGACCTGAATTTTAACACCCTGTGAATAAAACAGTCAATTAGACACCAACATAAATTTATAATATTTTTGTGTAATAGTACAATAAATACCTGTTCATCCGACAATATGAGCTCCATGGAAGAACGTTTCGAAATTAGCATATGCATCCACGTCTGTAAAACCTTAACAAAGATAGTAGAACCATCTTTGGAAGGACTCAAACACATTGAACCAAGAGAAACTGTATAAGTACACACCGAATTCTGGTGTCCAGATATACTAATATTCTTTTCGATGAGTATATCACTCAGTTCGACGTTTCGCTGATCTTCACTATCATCGTTAATCTCAGTCTCATCATCCAACATAACATCTTCATCATCATCTTCATCATCATCAGTTGAATCAGCATCGTCATCATCTTCATCTTCGTCATCACCGCTATCACCTTCTGAGTTATCACTTGAACCATCAGATCCTTCACAAGACTCATCGTTGTCAATAAAATCATCTTCAGAATTGTATTTATCTGTTTGGTCCATATCATCAGTATCATCGCGCGTATCTGAATCAGACCCCATATAATCCTCAAAACCATAATCATCATCAGTACCACGACCAGATAACACCTCGGTATCATCAGAGTCACTATCTTCTGCATAGATAAATATATGAAAAAACGGCGTAATTAGTATTCTAAAATAAATAAAAAACGGTGTTCAAAACAAAAAACAAAGAATTGAAACTATTAGATTCTTTATTCATAACCCAAGCATTCCTCGCAAAATCCCATAGAAAGGTCTTGAGCATGATCACTCGTATTAACACGATCAAAACCTAAATGCACAAAACAAACATCAGAACAAACATAAATACGTATAAAAATTTAATATACATCATTAACAAAAATATATTACATGAAGAGCAGAAATACCTCCTTTGATAAAAAACTTGTGATCAAGAATAGATATATAATACGCAGAATTAATATCTACATAAAAAAATGAATATGTTCGTAGATTAATATATAATAAAGGTATGTATCTGAAAGACTAAGGTATAGCACTACAAAAGGTACAAAACTGTAAGATTAATAGACAGGACTATGAACTTTCGATAACAGGATGATATGTCTGCAAGGTCCATTCGTCGATAGCAGAATCCATAAGTAACTTGCATGGATAACCTACAAATACAAAACAACTACTAATAAGTATTATAACTTGCATGAATAACCTAAAGAGGCACAACAACCTTTTTTTTTTGTGATATCCACGAAAACGTATGGAGTTACGTAACGATAATCAGTCATCTCTTTGTGATTCATATTCTGACGATCCGATTTCAACACAGACCTTAACCCGTGAGCATAAGCCTGGTTATCAAAACCTATAGTCGAATAAATTATTAGAATTCGTTAAAAAAGTAGAGAGCATATATATTATTACTAAATTTGATAATAGTTAGATATATACCCGAAGCAGTAGACGGAACTTCCCAAGTGATGATGACTTTAGATGGATGATCAAAGCTGTACTTAGACGAACACATAGTTAGGTTTGCATGCAAATAGACAAACATGATGAATCTTTTCTAAAGAGATCCAAAAAGTTAATGTTATTATAAAAACCCTAGCAAAATAAACATGAAACTCTAATAGGAAAACTAAAGCATAAATTATGAGACGTTTGGTTGAAAACACTCATATTTATACGTCTAAACAACTTAGGGTTTATTTTCTTGTGAAAAATACTAAAAGATAATTATTGTTCTATATACGATATTATCTTCCCATGAATTTCGTAGTTATTAATTATAAAAATGTAAAGATTCTATTCTAGATAATAACAAAAGAAATTATGACATATTTCCTTTTATAAAATATTTAATAAATAAAAAATATTTCCAAACATCGAATTATAACTAAAATCTAAAAATGAAAAACAAAAAGAAACTAACCATAGAATTCGAACCCGTGAGCATTCGATAAATGGACAAAGCACCTAACCAACACAGCTACCATCTCATTCAGCACAAACAACATATTGGAAGGTATGTATAATGTTTCTGTATTTGAAAATTGGGCCAAGTTATTCGGCAGTTAGAAATACGCATGTTCCATTTTTTTAAATGATTTTAGCATTTAATATATGGTTTAATGAGCATTTAATTTATGGTTTTAGTGATAAAAATAGTTGATCAACCAATCAAATTATAACGTGAGATGAGCAATCAGAATCTATTATTTTCATTAATCAAAACGACACAAAATTTGTGCGTTAAACCACAGCTCAAATCACTTCGCAAATACTATAATAGATACAAGTATGCACAACGAGATCAAGTGAAGCTTTAATGAAAGGAAAGCACCAGATTTTTGATAAATAAAACAGACAAATCTATATACTTATTTGTGTAGTGATTTGCTTACGTGTCGCGCTCACAGCGCTTTTCACAATTTTTCGCTTTCGTGTCAGCTCCAAAATGAATTTCGGCTATAAAAAAACCGTTTAGCCCTATTTTGCAATTACATGTCATTTTTTGATTGGTTCTTATCTGATGATATATAAAAAAAAACTTAAAACAAACCGGTCTAAATTATTATGGTTTAATGTTTAATTTCATAGTCAATCAAACCGTTTTTAAAAATATATATATAACCAAAATTTAATTTTTTTAACAAAAACGTTTTTTATAAAAAAACAATAATAGAATCTATATCTCTTAGTGTTTACCAATTCTTATGTTTCCGAAATTCAGAAAAAAAAATCTAACAAAAATGTTAAAAGAAACAAAAAATGGAAACTATATAAAAAGTAATGAAATGTCGTTTCAAAACAAATAAAAACTAAAATTAAAAAAAAAACTCTAACAAAAAAGTTTAAAAAATAAAAAAGAAAAAATATATATCTAACTAATGCAATGATGATATTTGTGATGTTTAAAACACATAAAAAATGATCAAAATAGAATAAGTTCATACGGTACTTCAAAAAATTACGTCTAAAATACATAGAAAAGTGATCAAAAGATATCAAAACTATTTAAACTAAATTATTTGGATACTACTATGTTTTTTTCTTCTATTCTATACTGTTTTCACGATCATGTCTTCCCATATTAAATTGCAAGGAAATCTAACAGACAAATATATTCAAGAATAAAAAATAAATGAATCCAAACTACTATTAGATTTTCAAACAATCAAATAGAAATTATATAAGCCCGCGCATGGCGCGGAAAAGTTAACTAGTAGTAAATTATTCTTAATTTTCATTTGATACTAGATTTTGCGTCCACACTATACGTGGATATTTTTTTTGATAAAAATTATATGCAACCAATTATAATTATTAAGATATTATTTTTATATATTACTGATGTAGATATATTACTGATGTAGTAATATTTTCAAAATATTACAATTTTAATCTTAAAAGTTATATGTAAATTATGAGGTTTTAACGGTTTTTTTATATATGCCATGTTTAAAAATATATTATTTGGTCGAACACTTATAAGTTAATATACCAAAACTAACTAAAAATGTTAAATATTAAAAATTACTGTTTTATAAACATAATATTGACATGGAAATCAATTTTAGAAATCAAGAAAATTGTTATAAACTATAATATATATATAGTTTCAACCAAATAATACATTTTTTGTCTACGTATTATATGAGAGAGAAGAGATGCTGAGACCAGGAAGGAGAGAATATTGATTCTCAAA